AGCAGCAGTCCCTTGTCTAGGCGGGAGGGTCGCAAACGTTCCATGTCCCAGGCTGGATGCCAGATCCGTGTTCAGAGCTTGCACGCTTCCAGTATCTACGCCTCTGGTTCTTACTCTTTTTCCACATCTTTGCTTCTACAGGAGCAGGAAGGCTGCTATAGTTTCTCAGACATAGACTAATTACTTGATGGGCGCTTGATTGCTCTTGACCTTAACTATTGCTGTCTGCACCTTGGCTATGTCTGTTCTCTATGGGTAAAAAAACATGTGCTCTTTGTATTTGCTGGCTGCTGGATGGGGAAAATCTTTAGAGAGATTAGGCAAAACAACCATGCAAGGATTACTGCCATTGTCCTGAGCCAGCACAGTAAGTGCTACAAACCTGGAAAGCTCCCCATCCCTGAACTTCTGCTTTCCCAACACTTCTCGTGGCTTGTGAGCACGCCCATATGGCACCAATATCGGTATTACTTGTATGCACACACTGCCCTGCATGGTGCTGACGAGCAGGGGCTCGCTGCTACGCACCGCTTTCTCAAGCCACGTTCGGGACTTGGGGTGGTGATGCCAGGCAGCTGCTGGAACGCCAGCCCTTCAAGCCCCATCTGGCGTGCTGAGGGCGGCTGGCTGTTGCCGCCACTGCCAGCACTGCTGCTGGGCTGATGGGATGGACCGAGTTGCAATCTGCTCAGCCTCTTTTAGAGAAGAACATTCAGCGTGTGGCTTGACCTTCCTTCCCCTGTTACCACCCTCTCACCCGCTGCTCTTTGAGGTTGGGAAAATGTCCTCAGGGAGAGATAAATAGGGCGGTCTTGAGATAAGAGACCTGGCAGGCCAGGACAGAAGGTGTCCTGAAGCTGCTGTAGCCTTCTGCCTTCCCCCTTCTGAAATGCCCCAGTTAGGTGGATGAAACAGCCATCTAGCAAAAACACAGACGCTCCACTATTCCTCTTGCTCTGCATTGGATGCCAGTGAGCCTCTAAGTTCGGGGGTTTATAGGCCTCCCGATGCAGTTTCACTCTAAGGCTGGTGACTTCCAGGGCTGCCCAGATGGAGGCAGCAGGTGGATCGGATAGCCCTGGCCCCTGCAAAGCAAAGGGCCCAGGCCTCAACTCCATGTGTGCACCACTGGCACCTGTCCCCGCCTTGCCACTGGGGTTCCCCTCCAACAGGCCCTAGTAGGGGCAGCATCAGGGCCTCCACATCACACCCTTCCCAGGCCCTGTAAACTCTCTGGGAAGGCCTGGTGAGTCCGCAGGTTCCTCGGAGAGGAACGGAAATTCACAATTGCTCTTCTAGTATGGCAAATGTATAGCTCTGGCATTTCATTTTTCCACTAAGCCCTTTTACAAATGTCAGCAGACTAATCAAAGATCAGTAATCATTCAGTAGTATGACAGGTGAGCTTTACTCACGAAGACTTCAGGAGCATTTTGTAGCTCTGAACCTTCACCCTACTCCACTTAGAAGCATTTTTCCAACCTTAACATAGTAGCAGCCCTTTCCATTCAATAAGCCAAATAAGGAAAAAAGAGTGGGGAGGGATGTAGGAACCCTCCAGACTATTCTTACAGTAATTAATAATGGATACCATGGGAATAGGTTAAACCGTGGAATTTGATTCCACAAAATGTAACAATCGCCACCATCCTGAATGTCTTCGAAAGGAGCTTAGATAAACCCTATGTCTCCCCTTTTAAATTTTCATTAGATAGAAGTTTAAAATTGAGGATTGGCTCAGTCATCAACTCAAAAAGAGAATGCAGCCAGGAGTGAGACTTGGAACTACAAAAGGTAATCAAGTGTAAGAATATTTCAAGGCCAAGATTATCCATACTAGTGTATTCCTAATTGCTGTGAATGGACACAAAAGTAGGACTGTGGAGAAAATGGACAGGAAGAAAATTGATGCGCTCGGTACATTGTGCTAGAGAGAAGCTTTGTGAATACCCTGGACCAACAGAAGGACAAACAAGTGAGTCCTAGATTGAATCAAGCCAGAACTTCCCTTCAAGGTTAAAATGATGAAACTGAGGCTGTTGTACTTTGGGGACATCATGAAAAGGCAAAATTCACTCAAGAAGGAAATAGTGGTAGGAGAAGTCAAAGGCTGTAGTAGAGGAAAACTAACTATGAGATGGATTGATTCCATGAAGGAAGCCACAGCCTTGAGTTTACAAGAGCTGAGCAGGGCTGGGGGGGGGGGGTGCATTTTGGAAGGGATTCATTCACAGGAACTCTGCCACTTAGGGACAACTTGGAGGCACATAATGACACACGGGCCGGGTTCACATGTCGTAACAACCAACGTGTCACCATGTGGCTTCCATGGTGTGTGGTTTCTGCCCACATGTGCTTGACAGAAGTGTTAGTAGTTTCTACACTAGCTTGGTTTCCACCTGATAGATGTGAAAGGATGATTTGAAACAAGGGAGTAGAAAGATTTAAAAAGGTAACAAAGGAGAGGAGGGGCTAAGATCAGATAGCACAAGGTGTGAGAAAAGGCAGGATGGCCAAATACTGACTCAGTGACTTCCTGATCGTTTATTGACAAGCTTGGCAGAACGAGATGAGCCTACTGTAGCCCACTGGGGGCAGGGCTGGATTGGGAAGAAGGGCCGGTGCTGGAGCAGCGCGGAGTAGGCGGGCGGAAAGAGTGTAAACTCCCGGTACCTCAGCCAATCAGGGGAAAGGAGGAGGGAAGAAGCGGCCGGGAGCAGAGTTCAAAAGGGGGATGTGAACAGAACAGGTGAACAGGAAAATGGGAAGGAAATCATTTCTTTCTGTTCCCTTTGTTGCAATAAAGTTTTAAAAAGAACTCTCTGCATGCTTGGAATATTTTTCTCTTCCGACAGAAAGGAAAGAGTGATTTTAATACACCCTACTTGCTCCATCCCCCTGCTGTTGGCCTGTATCTCGTCAGCCATCTTACCTGAAATTCAATCCCTGGCTGTATGGCTGGACTGGTTCTTACAGCAGCTGCTGCTCTTTCCAGGGGGCTCTGTGGTAGCTGCATACCAGGACTATAGAAACCATGACGCCAGGAATGGAAAAAACCAGGGTGAAACATGGGCATTATAGAACAGGCTGTTGCTTTTTATTGTAGTTTCTAAAAATCAAACATAGCATGCTGAAAAACAACGGCAGGGTTCGGATGACGTGGCAGAGCATCCTGCACAAGAAACCACCATGGCTTGTGTTGTGTGAACACACACGTAAGACATGATTCAAGACGTTTCTGCAGGAGCAACCCCCGTGCAACAGCCCTTGTTCCTACAAAATGCACTTCTCAGTTATATGCAGCCGCTCTTGTGCCTATTCTACGCCTCTGCTCTGCCTCTGCTCTGGTGCCTGCAAAATACTCAGCTCAGTTCTTTGCAGGAAATTTAAAGGTTAATTGCCTTTAAGTACCCTTTTATCTCTGATCACTGATGGGAGGTAATGACAAAGGAGGCTTGCAAGCCCAGTGGAAAAGCTGTGGGGGATACAGCGGGTCCACTGGACCCAAATTTCTCCATTGCTGCCCTAAAGTAAAAGTGATGTGTCTTCAGTTTTGGTAATCATTTTAGAACACTCATAAAATATGAATTGTCTGCAGATGATGGTTCTTCTGAGGAATATTAATAACATCAGATCCCAGAGCAGGAAATTACTCCATTACTTATCATCTGCTACAAAATAGAATGATTACTCAACATGTATTGAAAGAAGCACCACCAACTCTAACGCCAGTTTGTGAAGAGAAATATGAGACAGAATCACTGTGGCCACAATCCGCTGGGATGTGCTCCTGTTGCAGTGAAACGAATGGGCGGTGGAACAACAGCCATTTTGGGGCCAGTCCCTGGAGCAGGCCACTTGCCACGAGTCCTCCACCCTCTCCCTTAGGTGGCCACCACACACGCTCTCTTTGGCTGCCTCAGCTGGAAGTGTTTGCACTTCCGCCAGTGTAAGACCCCTGTAATTAAAAGTGTGGAGGATTGGCAGCCCAAAGCTCCAGCTGACCCTCCCCCTTATGGCCACCCACCTTACATCTTTCAGAGGGGGCTCTTAGAGAAGGCACAGGGAGGCATATATGCAAGGAGGCATTCCTTCAGATATCCTGCTCCCAAACCATTTACGGCTTTATATGTTAACGTTAACACCTTAAATCAGGCTCTGGCTTCAACTGGGAACCAGTGGATGGTGTGTCCTTGCCCCCCAGTCCTCGTTAGCAGCCTTGCTGCCCTTCTTCTTTTGAGAAGAGGTGCCACAGCCTGTGCTCCACCAAGCACAGGGGTGATGCAGGTTCTTTCTCCATGTCTCTCTCCCCCACCCCATCCCTCCCATAGATCAAGTGCTCTTCAGGCACATTGCCCCTAACAGTGCCTAGCTCTGCAGAAGGGCCCCTCACAGCTGGGCATTGAGCCCAGATGGCTCTCCGAAAAGCCCAGCCAGCTGCCTTTACTGTCCAGCACAGCTCTACAGAGAGTCGCCATGAAAGGATCCTCAAGGAAAGCCAGAGGGCAGGTGGCAGCTCCGGAGCGCGCCACAGCTTGCTCTCTCCGCAGAGCATTTGCCACAGCAGGAGAGCAGGGCTGGGCGTCTCAGGGACCTCACTGCTGTGCTGCCAGGCTGAGCAGCAGCTCCAGAGGGCCTTGCTGGCCCTGTTCTCTTGCTGTGGCAGCCAGTGGGGCTTTCTGGAGCAGATCCAGGGGGCGCGCTTGCTTGGCAGCTACTACCTGCTGGGCAGTACCTGAAGGGGGTCTTCCTGGCATGAGGATGAGGAGTGTGCCATTTGCCCACTCCACTGCCCAGTGCGGGAGACCCAACCAACCTTATGGAAGCTCTAGCTCTGCAGCTCATAGTATGGATGGAGGACTCCAACCCTGCAGCCCACTTTCTAACAGACATCTTAGATTCATGAGGAAATGATTACGTGACCTGGAACTTGAAGAAGACATTTCTGTTCTGCCAGAATGGAGATGAAGTCTTGTGTTAGAGCTGGAAATTTGACTCACCTGCCCTTTTCAAATGTCTCCACAGTTCTGGGCAGAATTTATACTGCTGTATTATGGATTTGGCTTCCTCTGGGGAGAAAAATGATAACAAAACAATAGTGTTACTTTCTTTTTGTTATAGGAAAGGTAGGAGCAAGCTATGAAGACATATATTCCAAAATAGGTTCAGAAAGAGTTGACTGCTGACTCATTTTGGTCTCTGCAGATCTACTTCTGAAATGAGTCACAGCGCAACAGAACATAAAGAATGTGTCTCCCTCCTTCTTATGGATTGGCCAGGTCATTATTTCCCATATTTTCCATGTGTGTATAGTTATGATAATACTCTTTAAATTCCACCTGCACAATGCGACTTTCCTGTTCTCTCTTCCACCCTGCAGCTCCCCGTGTGTGCCTTAAATTTGCTCTGGAGGGTCCACCAGCCTTCTGGAGCAGATTGGGGATGAGATTATGGAGTGCTGCCGGAAAGCGGGGAAATCCATTCTGCTTGCAGATGACCAGCGTGATATTAGCCATGATAATTCAGTTACATCCAAATGAAGTTAGTGAGTGGTTAGCCCCATGGAAAGCAACTGAAGTCACACTCATGTCAATAGGGACAGGCATGGCTAACTTAGTTTGGTCCCCATCTATAATCAGGAAGATAACCTTGTTCAGCATCATAAAAGTCGGTGAGGGTGAATTGAACCTAGTCCTGAATGGGGTTGCACTCCCTCTTAGGGACAAGGTCCGCAGCTTGGGGGTGCTCCTCGACCCGGAGCTTTCATTGGAAGCTCAGGTGACCGCAGTGGCGAGGAGCGCTTTCCTTCAGCTTCGGCTGATCCATCAGCTGCCCCCCTACCTGGAGTACGACTGCCTTGGGACAGTGACACACGCATTGGTGACTTCCCGTCTCGACTTCTGTAATGCGCTCTACGTGGGGCTACCCTTGAAGACGGTCCGGATACTTTAATTTGTTCAAAATAGAGCTGCCAGGCTGCTGACGGAGACTGGGCGTTATGTTCACATGACTCCAGTCCTCCGGCAGCTTCACTGGCTTCCCATTGAAGTCCAGGCCCAATTCAAGGTGTTGGTGATGACCTATAAAGCCCTAAATGGCTTGGGTCCTGGTTACCTGAAGGAGCGCTTACATCCATATATGCCCGCCCACCCCTTGAGATCTGCAGGAGAGGCCCTTCTCCGGGAACCCTCCGTGAAAGAAATTAGGAGGGTAGGTACTCAGAGGAGGGCTTTCTCTGTGGTGGCACCCAATCTATGGGATGCGCTCCCCAGAGAGGTCCGCCTGGCACCGTCGTTATTTGTTTTTCAGCGCCAGGTGAAGACCTGTTTATTTAAGCGTCATTTTAATTGTTAATATTATGCTTATTTTATCTGGCCGGGGCGACTTATTTTATATTGTTATTTTTTGTATTTTAACTTGATGTTGTGAGCCACCCCGAGGCTTCGGCGAACGGGGCAGCATAGAAATGTTTTAATAAATAAAATAAATAAATAAATATTGATAAGTGTCATAGTGCAACATTAAAAAAAAGTATCCATGAGAGACAGACTGTTTAAAAAGAAAAAGAGAGCTTCAGGTTGCATTATTTCCAATGGTGTGTGTGCACTCATATGTTCTGTCCCGTTGTCATATCTGACCAATAGGTTTTGTATGATTCTGAAAACAGAAATCATAGTGGCATAAATGTGCCCACTATGGGTTGTGGGGTGTCTCTCATGTTTCTTTTAGCTGCCCCCCCAAAAGGGAATCTGTTATGGAGACCATATGGAATGGATTAACTCCATAAAGGAAGCATGAATTTACAAAAGCTGAACAGGGCTATCAAGGGCAGGACTTTTGAGTCATCTCACCACAAGTTGCAGATGATGGCACATTGACTCAGAAGTTAGCCCCGCTGTGTTAAATGAGTTTTATTCCCTTGTGATTATTCCAAGGATGCAGGTTTACGCATTCTCTGTATTAATTTCAGTGGCGTTTAAGTATGTCAAACCTTCTCATAAACACATTGTATGGGACAGTTCACATAATCAGAATAAGCCACTGTAGCTAAAATAAGTCACAGTTGCTTATTTTGGTTATGGAAACCAAATTTATATGTCTGTATAGCGGACAGCATAAAATGAATACCACAGATAAAATTTAAGGGGGAATAAAGACAGTTTAAAGTTGCAAATGAGAATCAACAATGGGAATACATTTGGCAAAATATAATTTGAAAATGTGATTTATGCATTATTGTAGTGACATGGGAACTCTTTCCTGGTTGTGCATACATTGGTAACCTATGAATTAAGTAGCCAGCCATATGAGTGAGCAAATTTTATAACTGGGACTAACTGGGGTAGGAGGGGAGGGGGCAGCATCTGCATGACTTCAGAAGCATAAATCAAGACTGAGACATAAGCTCAGCTGAATGACTATATTTAGTTTGAGTTGGTGATGAGGAAGGAAAGACAGAAAGACAGAAAGACAGAAAGAGAAGTGTTGTCTGGGAAGATCAGCAGCAAAGTCTGGAAAAATGATAATCTATCTGGAATAAATGTAATGGAAAGTGGGTGTGAGTATGGATACTCATTTTTCTCTTTAGCAGCTGTTAAAATACAGCATGACATTTTTTTCCAGTATTTCTGGCTAGACTTTGATTTAACTGTGTGAGCTGTGAGTGAACAGTAACTGTTTCTCATTGGCATCCCGGGCAATGCTTACAAGGCCTGCTTACGACCGAAACCATGCAGGCAACATGTGAGAACCAGTCCTTCTAACTACACTGGTGGGAATCAATCAATCAATCCTAGCAATTCCTTTGTGAAGCAATTCTTTGCGCAGTGCAAGCTTTCCTGTATGGGGTTGTAAATCTGTTGCATCTAGTTTTGGTTTGGTCACAGAATTTAGTCCAAGCACGTATTATTTAGTATTCATGCAAGCTCTCCATGCGGGAAGCTCTGCATTATGTAGGGACTCTCCTTGACTAGAGAAGGCTCCCAGTTCAAATCCTTGTCCTCCAGCTCCTGCAGAACTGATGGGTTTCTATGTCCATGGTGGTGGGGATGTGTGTGGAGGTGGACAGAGCCAATACAATTGTCCACGTGATTCTAATCCATGTGAGCTGAACCCATCTTGAAAGCCATGGAAACCTCCTTCTTGGGAGGAGCAGCTCCAAAAGCCATAACAGTTCCTCCAACATTGTGGACTATTGGAAGCTGCCTTACACTGTCAGACCCTTGGTCCACCCAACCTATTTAACTAAGTCAGTCAAACTTACACTAATGGCAACAGCTCCTCAGGGTTTTAGGCTGGTGTTTTTCCAGCCCTGGAGATGCTAAGGACTGAACATGAGACCTTCTGCATGAGCTGTGGCACCTTTCCTTGAGCAACTCAAGCTGTAGGGCGGCTTCCCCCAAGCGCCTTCAATTCCTTGGAGAATAACTTTTAGCAGCAGCACCAAGAGAGAGGAGGCCCCCAACTTCCTGTTTTTCTTGACACCTTCCAGATCTATTCTGTTGGAGATGAGAAAACTTGCGGAGGGTGCCAGGTTGGCAGAAGCTGCCCCAAGGTGGTGGCCACCCTTGTTACATTGACCTCCACAACTAAGATACAAGAAGCCACGCTGAGACTAGATGGGTGCAGACTGATGCAGAGGGCCTAACCGGTTCTGTGGCTTGAAGACAACAACAATAAAAGGAAATTTATTGTATTTTATTTAGCTCTGTCAGGTACTTCAGAGAGCTAATGCCAGTTAGAGATGATACTGTATGCATGCATGCATGCATGCATGTTTATATATTATTTCAATAAGAATAATGTTTGAAGAAAAGAAGAAAAGAAAGGAGAGAGAAAAGGAATAAAAGGGATAAAGAAAAGAAAAGAAAATAGATAAGAAACACCAAGGGATCTTAAATAAGTATTGTATAGAATATCAAATATAAAAGATTTTGCTGTATGTCAGTGGTTGTTCTTTCTACTTTGATCACATTTTTTGACATTCAGTGAAAATTCATTGACATTTTCTTCTCAATTGTGATTCTTTAACTTTGCTATTCACCTGGACGCAGCTTATTCTAACAACAGTGCATTAATATAAACATTAATCCCTAGCATGTTCTCAGAAATTCTATTCCCTTTATATGTATATTTTCTGTTATTTTCTCCAGTAAAAAGTAGGTCATGTAAAATACAATTTCCGCTTATCATTAAATTCTTTGGCTATTATCTATTTAGAAAATTAGTCAGTCTTGCCCTTACATGTACTGCAATACTACATAGTCAGCTAACTTACTTTTCCAATCTTCAATAATTAGTCTTTCTTCTGCTTTCCATTTTGAGTTAATTTTAACTTTAGCCACAATTGCTGTGTACTTAAATAATGCTCTTCATTAACTCAACTTACTATAACAATGAGAATCAGTGCATCTCTGAACAATATTTTCAGAAATTCTATTCCATTTATATAACTCTGCTTGCTGTCACAGTGAAGCATTTGTGAAAACATTAACCTCTAACAAAATTTTCAAAAATTCCACTCCGTTTATGTATAGATTTTTCTATTAATATTATCCCCATTATAAAGTAACTTGTGCATAGTATAGTTTCCACTTATCCTTGAATTCTTTGGTTGGTTTTCTATTTACATAATTAGTCAATAGAGGAGACACTATTGGGGTAGACGGCAAGAAAACTGACCAAACAGGAGACTTTTGCGTCTTTTTGGCACGATGAATCTCTTTCACATGGAAGACAAAGAAAAGCTTTGGACTGCAATCCCGCTTGCAGGTTGGCTACTTAAATCTGTGGGATTTCAAAACCTAGCTGTGCACAGGCTTGCAAATAATTTAATAGGAGAATAGACCTTTCTAAAGGACCTTTCTAAGAATATAAATAAGATGTGGTTGTGATATGGAGGTAAAGGAAAGGAATCTGATAGAAAATCCATGATCAAGCCTATGCCAAGCTGGCTGCTACAGTAATCAGAAGCTAAAGTGCGATTCATAAATAGCTTGTTTCATAATATGCGGTGAATACATTAAAGTGAAATGACATTCACTTCTGTAGCAGCTAAGATGAGAAAGGAGAATCTCTAATGAGTTAAACCTTTTAACTCTCTTGTGTCTGGTTGTGACCTTGCACTCTTGCATTTTTCCAAGACAGAAAATGGGCAGAGTTTGGATTATGCAATTAAAGGATTCCATTTTAAAATATTGGACAGCAACTGAGTTCACACAGTTGCTATCCTTGACAACCAGCCTTGTTGATCTCTGGAAAAAGAGGGGGGTTAAAAAGCAAAAAAAAAAAAAAAAGGCCAGGGCAAGCCTGAAATGGCTTGCTAATGTGGCAAGGGGGTGGGGAGAAAGACCTCTTCCTTTTGCATTGTCTAGGGGAGGACTAGGGGAGGGGGGCAACAACCCAAGATGAGGGGAATCATCTGTCAGGCTTGCTGTGGGTTGTTATGCATGCCACCAACCTACTGTGGCTTTTGCCTGCCTGGATTACTGGGATGTGCAGACGTGCACAATATCCTCCTGTGCACACAGACCACCGGGTAACATCGGGTAACATACCTTTGTGTTATGAGCAACTTAAAACAAGCAGAAACACTCATTTCCAGAATGAAGCTAGTTAGTAGAGCTCACACGCTAGCTCACTGCCAAGCTGTTCTGATCTAGAAATGAGTAATCCGGCTTGTTACCAGGGCTACTTTTGGAAGTGCAAAAGCCCCTTTGTGCAAGTGTTCTCTCCTGCTTGCACAAAAGAAAGCGTGTGGAGGCAGTACAGAATACTGCCCATCATGTGTAACTTGGTATTTTCTTTCACCCTTCAGGACACAATGCAGCTGTGATTCAAAAAAGTAGGATTTGTCTAGCAGAATCATTAGATGTGGTCACGCAATTTTTATTTAAGAACAAAAGTTTCAGTTCTGTCATTATAGGACTACGTAGGTCACAGATGTTGGGGTGGCCCTTCAAATGTGCTAGATTGCCGTTCCCACCAGTCCTAGCCATGGGTGGGTGTCCAGCAACTTCTGAAGAACTGAACATTACTCATCCTTGAAAGAGAATAAGGAGTTGAGGAGTTTTATTAAAATTCTGCATTCAAATATTTAATAATTCCTACAGAGTGGCAGGTGGTTTTTGGAGATTTGCCAGGTGGCAACTTACTGAATTTCAGGTGTCTGGCAAAAACCTTCCTTTTCTGGGGCACCTTTGGTACCATCTAGACTATTTACATTAGTGCATGGTTTTAATAAATTGATGTTTATTTTATTGTTATTTAATTATTTCATTCTGACTTTATTTTGTTTATTTATTGTGAACTTTTAATTGAATTATTTTATTAATGCTATTTGTTGATTTTATACTGTAATGGCCACCTGGAGGGCATGCTGCGAACAGGTGGCTTTTCAACAAATTTAATAAATGAGGGAGCTCTTTTCTGCATTTCTTTTAACCATCTTGGTTGGTGAATATTGGCTATCAAATGTTAAAAAGTGCTAATCTGCAAAGAATGCTCTTGAGAAAACCTCTTAGACAAAGGCTTTAATTCCACAAATGGAACCCTTAAAGAGGAGATTCTTCATTGCAGTTTCTAAGATGAAAAATTTCCACTCAGACGCCATGGAAAATTAATCTACCATCACCATTTCAAGTTAGTTTTTATAGACTTACTGGCTGTCTTTTCTGTAGCAGCACTCTGGTTTCCCTCCCATGAGAGGTTCGACTAGCTTCACTCTTGATGACTTTTAGATAGGTAGCGAAAACATTTTTGTTCTGTCTGGATTTTACTGCTATCTTTAGCCAAGATCAGAGCTATTAATTCTGTTCTGCTTAATTTTAATGTTCTGCCATTGTTTAAATCAGATTTGTGGGTTGCTGTTTTTTGTTTGTTTTTTGGTACTTTGCACTGGAAGTGCTTGTTAGGGCTGTAATGACTTAATGTCTTCAATAGTTAGATGCAGTTCAGTCTAGCATTGCAAGAACATGCTTCAGCCAGCCTTGGGCTTGTGTGTTGTCTACAACTGGAGTGATTGTGAGATCAGAAGCTTCTGCTTCCATGTAAGATTAACCACAAGTTAGTGCATCTTATAAACCCTAGACTGCGGTTCTTATTGAACAAGGTTAGCAGAAACAAGTTGGCTTCACAAGATGTGGTTTGAAGTTGGGTACTTTGCCTAGGTTTAGATGGCACAGCTCACCATGATTCATCAAAAATGGAAATGAACTCCTCATGGTTATGCTGGAGAAGATTGGGGGAAGGGAAATGCATGAGCCACCGCAGTTAATTCGCAGGATGCAGAGCTCTGCTGGAGCAAGGAAATCATGCAAGGGGGAGAAGCTTTAAAATCGTGAGGGGTCTGGCAAGTGTACCTGGAGCTGGAGGTGGTGGATGCTATGTTGCCCACCACTGAATTAACAGTGCATCCAACTGTACGAGCCTTATTTTTCACAAAATACGGACACTTGACCACATTTTAGATGCTACCAAAGAACTGTACAGCCTGTAAGGCTCAAAGAAACACAGAACAAAATCTTCAGTTAATCTGACCTGTCAGGATTGCTGTACCGGGTCAGCAGGCAATCCTTAACACTGACAGAAATGCAATGTGGTCTCATGTTTGTTTTCTGAGGCAGGTGGGACGCCCAGTATCTCATTAGTTTGACTTTGAATTAGTGCCATAAATCAAGAGATCAGCACAGCTGCTCCAGCAAAGCAAGGTGGAGTGCTTCCTTGAATGCCATGCTGCTTTATTTCTGTCCAGTTTTCATATTTTGGGGCAGGGCTGGCTGCATATTTGAGAGAAATTGCTCAAATATGCTTCACAGATCTGAAATGGAAATATTTTGATGTGGCCACTTTAGACAGTCATGACAGCATGCATCAGACACCTCAAAGCACCACTGGCAATAGAAAGTCACATCAGCATAGGTGGTATGACGCTACAGTTCATTATGAACCAGTATTTCATACTCATTTGCACAATCTGCGTACAAATTGGACAAATATATTAAACCATTTTATATTAATTTTGAGCTTCCCACTTTTCAAGTATAATGGTTCTCGCTCTCAGAATCAGAGGACAAGGAAAAAAGTAATTTTAACTGTTATCCTTGCTTTTTAAGTCTTGTCTAGGCACCCCGTCTCATTACTGTTGAATCAGTAAATGAGAGAAAAAAATGTGCTTGCATTATAAAACATAACACTGTTGGTTCTCCTGGATATTTCAGCGGCTTTCAACACCAATGACCATGGTGTCCTTCTGGACAGGCTGGCTGGGTTGGGAGTTGGGGGCACTGTACTACAGGGGTTTCGCTCTTACCTGGCCGACCATGTCCAGATGGTGGTGCTGAGGGACAGTTGCTCTGCCCCATGGTGATCACACTATGGGGTTCCTCAGGGCTCTGTACTGTCCCCCATGCTGTTTAACATATACATGAGACTGCTGGGAGAGGTCATTTGGTGGTAGCTTTAAATCTCTTTCTCATCTAATGCAGGTGAGGCAGTTTCCATTCTGAATTGCTACTTGAGATCGATCATAGGCTGGATGTGGACCAATAAAGTGAAGCTCAGTCTAGATAAGATGGAGATGCTGTTGGTAGATGGTCCAACTGCCTAGAAGGTGGGCCTTCAACCTGTCCTGGATGGGGTTGTACTCCCCTTAAAGGACAGGGTCTGTAGCTTGGGGTGCTCCTGATACCAAAATTATCACTTGAATCTCAGGTAGGCTTGGTGACCCAGGTAGCACCTTCCTTCAGCTTCCTTCCTTACCAACTCGGCCCCACCTGGACAGGCAGAGCCTAGTCACAGTCACCTAGACTTGAATAACCTCTCAACTGGACTACTGTAACGCACTGCAAGTGAGGCTGCCCTTGAAGACAGTCCGGAACCTTCAGCTGGTGCGAGCAGGGATGCAACCCCCTGTGACTCCAGCATGTCTCACCTTCATTGGTTACCAATTGAGCTCTGCCCCCATTTTAAGGTTCTTGTTTCAACATATAAAGCCCTAAAGAGCTTGGGACCAGGGCATCTGAAGGACTGCCTCCTTCTGCTGTCCTGCATACCCCCCTGCCCCACACCAATCTGCTCTGGACAGGCTACAGTCCTTCAGAGCTGATGGGTGGTGGAGCTGCTGGGGGAAGGGGATGCCTCTCGCCAGCCCTTTTTGCGCCATTGGTGGGTGGATACAAAGGCTGCCAATGACACGTCCTGAAGTCTATTATGTCACCTCTAGTATCAGAGGTTCTGTATACCAGTTCCTGGGGGATATGGGCAGGAGAATGTTCTTGTTTGTGGGTTTCCTATGGGCAACTAGTTGGCCAGTATGTGAACAGAAAGCTGGACTAGATGGATCCTTGGACTGATCCAGCATAGCTTTTTTTTGCATGCACAAAATAATTCCTGAGAATGGACATAATTTCTCTTATTTCATAGAACAGAAAGGATAGAGTAAAAATTATGTCCAGCATGTCCTCAAGTTGTGATCCCGAAGTCTTCTCCTGCATCATATCCACCGACTGGTGAAAGGCAGTAGCTCTGTGTATGTGTGTGTGTCTGTTTTTTGAACATAAACGCCTTTACAAAAGTGTGAAGAGACAGGAACAAGGGAATGCAACACGAGTCCATCGATGATGGTTATCTAAAATAGAACAGTAATTCAAAGGATCTGTCTTTCAGTCAGAACTGTCAATCATTAATTTATTTACGTGTGACTTACCAGGGGCTGTGGAGGAAAAGCACCATGGCAACACCTGCATTACGGGCTTGCTATCTCTGCAGCCACCTTCCTGAGGAAAAGCAAACATAAAATGTTTAAAATGCATGTAGCTTTTCAGCAGGAGCTGGAAACACAGCTGGGCCTTTGGGGAGGAAAAGAACATGATCTTAACCTAATTTCCTTTTTATAGCATATTAGATAGTTAGGTAAATGTATCTAATACTCTATACAGTTTTTGCAGAGTGTGCCTTATTTCTGCTATTAAGCAATAAACTATTTCTGATTTTGAAAAAACGAAGCACTGTTGTAAGTGTATTTCTTTTCACTCTAGCACAATTCCTCGGTTTTGACATAACAACTCAAATAGTTGTTTTTTGGCATAATTGGTAGAAGATTTGCAATGCTGGGGGCAGGGCAGGGATCTCAAAATGCTGTTGTCGTGATGGTTCCTTTCTTTTGATCTAATATCTTTGCATTCTTTTGGCATAACAGCTTGTTCATATATTTTGCTTTCCACTCTGCAATAAATGTTTCTTTTGAAGATTACATATCTCATATTCTTGCTATGGTAATAATGTATGTCAAGGGGGCCACAATGTTTTTATCCCCCCTGGGCTCAGGGGTCACATGCGATCCAGCAGTTGCTCTTTCCTTGCTGCTGGCTGTGGTAGGGAAAGCGCACTTTCCATGGGGACCTCCGGGGAGCAGAGAACAGACAGTGGGGAACTTGGCAGGGCAGTTCAGCGGTCGCAGGGAAACTTGAGGGGTGAGCAAAGGCCTTGGAGGAAGCCATGTGTAGGCTGTGGGCTGTACACCCCAATAAATGGGCTTGTTCAGGGATATTGTATAATTACATTTTTAGTCTACTTACCAGAAAGTTAGTTGGTTTTAATTAGAAACAGCAGTAGGTCCAGATGTAGAATAATAGCTACTATTTTTCCTCTCACATGCCTTATTTTTTTCAGTATGTCTTTCCCAAATTGCAAGTATATTAAAATAATCTCTCTCTCCCTCTCCCTCTCCCCCTCCTGCCTTCCCTCTCTGACATCTCAAGCCCTTGGTATCAATTGAATTTTACCTTTTATGCAAATTCTTCAGTGTAATGTAATATTGAGTCCATGTCAAAATAATTTCCACACACAATAACACACACAATGAAAAATAGTTTCTGATTTTTCAAATATATTCCCCTATATCAAAAGTGGTAGAAATTCTCAAAACTTGCTCTCAGCTTATGGTTAAATTTTTCACAAAGGAATTATAGCAGAATTTTTTATGACCAACATAAATTATTATTTTAGATTTATCTGACAAATATAATTTCAAATGTAGTACATTTTCAGAACTGATAGTCATGTTATTTTTTCTTCCCATGAGACATGCCAGAATAAATTTGTGACTATGCAATGCTTGCATGCCGAGTTAGGAGAAAGTCCTACAGCGGCCGGAACGCCACATCCAGGGCCCTCAGTCTTTAAGATGCCACAAGTCACTTTGTTGCTTATGCTGCACAAAGATAACATGGTTACCCCATTGGAAATTGCCAAATAATTGTAGATGGTCAAACCACAGAAGCTGCTAAATATCTTCCTCTATTCAGAACTTATTACAATGAATGATCATAATGTTACTTCTGCATACTTCACCGGCTCCTAATTTGACACCTCTATTTTGCAGTGTTAATTTTCTTCACAAATGTATCCTAAAGAGAAAAAAACTTTTCTAGTTATTGTTTTTGTTGATGCTTCAATGAAATAGCACACTTTCCTCACAAACAGACTGCATATCCAGCTGGACACAGCGGGGGCTAATTTCCCCTTGTTACCCCTCCCAGGTCTCAGTTATACAACGAGGTGGGCCCCACCATTCAGTCCTGGCTAAGTGAGATCTCATTTTGGATCAGCCTTGCACTCAGCAACGGGATTAGCTAGTAATAGATATTACTAATAAATTAAAATGTTATGCAAGTCAGACCAACTTCTAGGGGAGTTCTTGTTCTTTCTTACTTGCACTGGTAATACTTTGAAAACTGTTCCTTATGACACAATAAAACAGATTCAGTATTTTAACTCTTGGGATTTTTCAAAACTTTTCCCTCTTGTTGTTTTACAAAGGCCTTCATTTCCTAAGTTGAAGCCTATTAAGTTTCTCTGTTCGACATTATACTTCTAAGCAAAATAAAATGATTAAAATATCTCTTTTAATAAACAAAGCCAGAACCCTTTTGCAAAATACCATTAGGATCATATACACGCTCAAGTACTAATTTTCTAGTTTGCTGGGATAATGAGTAATCTAAAAGCACATATTTAAGTATACATAATGACTCTATTTATTCACTTGTCATTAGCAGTACAAAGGAGCTGAAATAATCTCCATTGCTATTCATTCCATAATGCACCCTCATCACTTCCATTTTTTTAAAGGCAAAGTGCACTCACTAAAATTATTGTGTAAAAAAGGATCTAGATATTGTTTCCAAGATATCAGGTTTAGTATCCTTACTGCAGAATGAGTTTGGAAAAAATAATGAGCTACACATCACATCATCTGGTTTATCCATTGTTGAGCTTCTCATGTTACAGCTCGAATGACAGCATTATCAAGTGACCTTATATTTTAGAGTTCATGAATAAAGAGTTCAGCTTCTTTAAACAATATGAGATTTTCAGACAGAAACTTGTGCATCCAGCTACATCAAAGAACCAGAAGCGGAAAAGATGTATCACCATCTATGCATTGGTACCAGCCATTTAATTTAATTTGTTCAAGCATTTTCAGGAAGATGTTTGGAATCCTTGCTAATGAATGCCATCTGGTCTTACACTGTCAGCAGGAAATTGTTGATTATACAACATACAAACAAAGATCTCAATTTTTGACTGGGTAACCTCCCAAATGGACAGAGGGAACACAGTGGACATAATCTACCTAGACTTTAGCAAAGCTTTTGCCATAGTGCCACACTATATTCTGATAAGAAAATTAGCAACACCTGGAGTAGATAGAAAAACTATTAGATGGATCCAGAATTGGCTGCTAAATCAAAGAGTGCTCATCAATGGCATCTTCTCAAACTGGAGGAAGGTAGCTAGTAGTGTGCTGCTGGGTTCAGTCCTGAGTCCAGTGCTCCTCAACATCTTCATTAATGATTTAGATGAGCAAGTACAAGGAAGGATGATCAAATTTGCAAATGAGACAAATCAGGGTGGAATAGCAAACACTCTAAAAGACAGAATGAAGATCCAGGGTGATCTTGATAAACTTGAATGCTGGGCTGAAAGCAACAGGATGAGATTCAGTAAGGACAAGTGCCAAGTCCTCCATCTAGGAAAAAGAAACCAAACCCATCAATACAAGACGGGGATATGTGGCTCAACAGAACTGAAGGAGAAAAAGGCCTTGGAGTAATTGTGGACAACAGGCTAAATATGAGCCAACAATGTGATGCAGCTGCCAAAACAGCAACTGCTATTTTGGGATGCATTAATAGAAGTATTACTTCCAAATCACAAGAAGTAGTAGTTTCCCTATACTCACTATTCAGACCCCATTTGGTATTGTGTCCAGTTCTGGGCACCAAGACTGAAGAAAGATGGAGAAAAAAGTAGAAAGGGTTCAGAGAAGGGCAACAAAAATGATCCAGGATTTGGAAACACTGCCCTTTGAGGAAATACTCAGAGAACTGGGTATGTTCAGTCTTGAGAAGAGAAGTCTGAGGGGGGACATGATACCCCTCTATAAGTGCCTCAAAGGCTGTCACAAATAGGAAAGTCAAGATCTCTTCTTGCTGATGCCAGAGTGTAGGACACAGAATAATCCATTCAAATTGCGACAATTCAGCTTCAGGCTGGACATCAGGAAAAGCTCCCTCACTGTCGGAATAATACAACAGTGGAACCAGCTGCCTAGAGAGGTGGTGGGTCTCCCACACTAGGGACATCCAAAAAGAAACTGGACAGCCATCTGAGTGGGATGGTGTAACTTGGTGTCCTGCAACAGCAGGGGGTTGGACCCGCTGGCCTTCATGGACCCTTCCAACTCTACTATTCTACAATTCTATAGCAGATGAAACAATTTTTTGAAAAACACATTGCAAAGTTAATTAGAAAGCATACTTGTCACCTTATAACAGTAGCTTATTGTGATAATTAACTAGTGCTTTCAATGAATCACCATTACATCAATGTAATGCATTACTTAAGTTCGTTACTGTTACTGTTGTACATTTCTATACTGCCTGTAGCCGAAGCTCTCATGTTAGTATGTATAGCCACCTAGAGTTATGAATCTAACACCACATGATGCCTTTCCCTTTTTTCCTCCTATTCCTGTCTATTCCTGACTGATGGGATCTGAAATCCAAAAACCTTTGGCAGGTATCACAGAGAGCAAAGTTGTGGTATTCATTTCACCACAGTGCCTCTATTTAAAATAACATGTGACATGCTGTCAGTGCAGTGGGCATCACCCTGCCGACTTCTCATGTCAGCAGCTGTCAGGAATGGTAAACTCTCATGGTGGTGATGGTGTCATGTTATGTCACATTAAACTTGACACTATGAGAAAGAGAAAAGGACAGAGATACAGGCCTGGTTCACATGAAATGGCAGTTCCTGGATTATTTAATCCATGCATTGATAGGGCTGCAGTGCCTCCCATGCTCTTGCCGTTTCCGTTTCACATCTGCTTTAGCAAACAACTTAGGAGCACTCTGCTGTTTGATATAAGATGTAACCCTGAAATTCTGGGTTGTTGAGGGAAAAACGTTCTGGATTCACATATTACATCCAGTAACGTTTTGGGTTGTTGGAGAAAGTGGATATGCAGAGGACGTGGTGAGTGAGTGGGAGGCAACACGCATGCTTGCTGCGTGAAGAACCAATGAACCAGGACCCCAAGCCGCAGAGGTTGTGTAAACTGATTTGGCCCTTGCTGCATTATTTGCTAGAATGTGAGGCACCATCTGTTTGAGTGCTTTAGAACTGAAGAGGTCCCAGGGTCTGCATTATGACAGGACTTAAACATGCTTATCCTTGTTTTAAATATAGGACTTGGTCGGCTGTTCACTTAAGAGGGAGGAGTATGGTTTGGCAGTCTTATTTCTGTATACTTCTGTCTTGTTTTAATGTTTCTATGCAATGGGATTTTTTCCCTTGCAAATTTTTCTATAAATACGTTGTGTTTTAAAAATAACAACTTCAAGTCCTCTAGTCAGAGCTTACATTATTCCTGCAGATGTTTGGAGCAGTCACGCTGCCACACCCAACTGCACCTCAAGTGAACAGCAAGTTTAAAACAGCAAGTTTAAAACAAGGAGGATTCTGTTGGTTGCTTTTGTTTAAATCCTGTCAGCCTCAGCCCTAAAGCAGCTGGGCAGATGTTTCACCCTCCAGAGCAGGTCTCCGAGTCTATCCATAGATGTTTCCTTTCAGACTAGATGAGCTGAAAGCTCATGTTCCATATTTCCCCCATCCCTCTCATTTAAAACAATGCCTGAGTATTAATAAATATGAGACACCAAATGTGAATTTTATTCTATTTTATGACCTCACTATTCATGTTGCATCATTTTCCTCTTTGAACTGCATGGCACATTTCCTCTGACAATCACAGAACACCTATAATAGACATGAATTATTAAGAGTTACTCTATCTGTCTTGGGCGTAACAGGAAAGTATAATTACTCCATGGGTAAAAAAGAAACCTGAAGCAAAGGCATGGTGAGTGACTTGCCCATGGTTTCAGTGAATCGGGACAAATGCATGTGACCGAGACCCAATACCATTTGAAAGACCTTTTCCACACAAGGCTGTTAATCACTATATCTGCTTTTGGTTTTGTCACAGAATTGAGATCTGTTCTATGCAAACAGCTTTTTCATTACTAACCTCTAGGTGGCACTGAGCTATAGTGAAATATCACAATTGCACAAACAGGGAAAATTTTTCTATAAATATGTTGTGTTTTCTTTGGCTTTTAAGACAATACTCTATTTTCCCTGCTCTAACCCTTCTGAACTACCTCCCTCCCACCCCATGCCAGAAAGTGCTTCAGGAAACTGTAAACAGCCATGACTAAGGAATCACAAGTATACAATAAATGCCTCATGTAGAAAAGCTTTAAAAATGAAGGGAGCAGGGAATTTACAGGATATGTAAAGTAGGGAGGAACAGGTGAGCACTTAGCCATATAGACTTTTGCCAGCAATGGGAGATTTATTTTCTGAGTGGGGAAGGGGCAGACAAATTACATTATGATTGCATCTTGGGAAGGAAGAGTTAACTCTTCCCTCCATCCACACTGCAGTTCCAATATTGTTATTTCTTGCATTTTAATTTTATGTTGTGAGCCTCCCCGAGGCTTCGGCGAATGGGGCGGCATAGAAATGTTTTAATAAATAAATAAATTTGGAAGAAGAGGCTGCATCTATTATTCCGTTTTAAAACTGATGCCATTTCTAACACCTTTCTGTCCCTGTCCTAAACTGGAATTTCTTCTCACACTGTAAATGTTCCCCTCACCTGAGATGGAGGAGATGCATGATATTTAATTTATTCATTTTACTTACCAGTAGCACTTAATATAGTAAGATCTCTAAACAGTTTACATATAATAATGATGAGTCACCTGGCCAGTTCCAGTGGCCTCCTTTCAAAACACTCATGAAAAAATCCCCAACTGTGTTCTAGTCCGTCATTCTTTCTGTTGTCTAGTCACAAAATTCTAACTTAGCAACCACTTTCAAAGCAACCACTTCACACTCTTCCAACAGACCACTGAAGTGCAGACCATCCTGAAGCCTTGGAGAGAAGTACTTCAGAGATGAACGGGGCTCAGGGGCAGAGCTTTTCTACATGAGGCTGTTCAGTGCTTTTTTTGTAAAAAAAATAACAAAAAAAGGTGCTGGAACTCCCGGCAGTAAGCGCGCGACCACACACAGCAATCCCAAACTGAGCAGCGGAGCAGCGTCCCAAGCCGAGAAAGCAGCACCCTCACTATCTCACTATCAAATAGCAGATAGCAGAGAAGAGCAGCCCGCAGACACTATGTTAATGAGGTTTGCTGCTGATCTGCTATGATTCAAAATCACTTCGTAAAATCCCTTGGAAAAAAAGGTGCCGGAATGCCGTTCCGGTGCGTTCTATGACAAAAAAAGCCCTGAGGCTGTTAATTCACTGCGTCTGATTTCAGTTGCATTAAAGAACTGAGATCTGAGGAGTATTTCCTTTCCTGCTTTTCTACTGCAAAACCTCTAAGTGGCACTATAGTATAGCAGAACAGTGTAAATACAAGCTTTCTTACATCATCAGAAATAATACTCTGTTTTGAGCTTTTCTACACAAGGTATTTGTTGTACACGCATCGCTCCATATTCATAATTACGACAGCACTTTTTAACTAATTACAGACACAAGTGAAACTGGAAGGTCACAATATTGGGAACCTGGAAGATCCCGGGTCTAGTCCCCAGGTGACCTTGGGCCTATCATTCACTCTCTGCCTAACTTACCTTCGAGGGCTGTTGTGAGGATAAAATGGAGCTATGTAAGCCGCCTTGGGTTCCTCAGAAGTTGAAAAGGGTGAGACAGAAAGATGATGATTATGATCCCATACACAGGCCTAGATCCCAAAGGAGAGGAGGGCAGTCACTCCTCCAGCAGGCAATTTGCAGCACCTATTTTAAAAAAAGACAGCATTACACCCAACCTATGGAATGCGCTCCCCAGAGAGGTCCACCTGGCGCCGTCGTTATTTGTTTTTCGGCGCCAGGCTAAGACCTTTTTATTTAAATGCTATTTTAATTGTTAAGGTTTATTTATTGATTTTAAACTGACCAGGCTGTTTCCACTATTTTATGTATTTTATTTATTCTATGTATTTTTTGTTTGTATTTATAGGCAGGATTTTAATTATTGTAAGCCACCCCGAGGCTTATGCGAAGGGGGCGGCATATAAGCAGTCTAAATAAATAAATAAATAAATAAATATGTGCCTAAACAAACGTAAGTAAGAAGCAAAGCAACCACAAAAAGGCTTCATGGAGAATAGCTAAGAGTCAGTTTCTGTGATAACAGTCGGAGAAGAGATTGGCCTTGTATCTTTTTTATCTCTAGTTGTGAAAAGATCCAAAGTTTTATTTCTCAATCTGGAGTTGTTCATTCTTGAGGAAGAACCTGCATCATTTCACTGCTGGGGTAAAAGGCAAAGCTACATAGTACCTTTAGAAGTTCCTTTGAGCTCATCTGATGTAGGTTTTTTGCTTTCTACAGAGCTAGCCCTAGTTTATAGCTGTGTTTTTCAAACCTTTTTTTCCTAGTGCATGGTAAACAAAACCAGTGATTAGACTGGGAGAAGGAGTAAATTAGGTAATTTATGGTTCATGGACGACAGAAGGCTTTTGACAATTAACAGTCTGTGTGGAAAACACTTTTTCCATTGTGATTGGAAGCGTATAATTTGGTTTGAAATTATAATCAGTATTCCTAAATCTTGCCATTTTGATCAATTAATGCTGAACTTGGGATGCTCTGATTCTAGGCCTTCTCTACATGAGGTTTTAAACCTCTGTTTCACTGAGGCTACTTCTGTGTTCTTTGCAGGATTAAGAGTGACTTATTCACATGTGTTCTGTTGTTTTGTTTTCCTGTTTTTCTCCCCTCTTCCTTTCTCTGCTTTCTATGTGTTCCATTACACATCCACTGTGGTATAGTGGAATTGCAAAAAACCCATGTGCTTCCAGTTCATTCTGCCATTTCTAGATAATGTTACAGATCCTTAAAAAAAAAAAAAAAAAAAAACTGCGGTAATGCTTGGAAAGCATGAAAGTATATCTGGGAGATGTCACAGAAAGTACCTCTAACTACTGTGAATAGGGATTCATAAATGCATGATAAATACCTGGTATAGAGAAGTCCTAAGGACTTGATTTAGCTTCACTTATCTCCTCTCTCTTTTTGTAATCCTGATATTTGTTCTGGGCACTAGTCTGTTATGGGCTTGTGTCAGTACCCACTCCTCATGCCACAGGGAGCCAGCTGTTCTTAGAGCAACCAGAAATGTGATGGAGACAAATGAAAGCCTTAGCTTGAGGCCATTCTCCATCTTAATTTCTGAATATTCCAAACTGCACAAAACTTAGTTTCCAGGGCACTTTCTTTAACTGCACAAAATATGTCCAGCTGCTTAATGGTCCCACTGAAATCTGCAGGACTTGAAAGTTCTTGGCTTTGAAACCTGATGTACATAATAAAGCGCTTTAATATAATTTAAATCCAGGGAATATTCAAAGCGGAAAGCAGCATCATGTGATCAGTTGGCTGGTAGAACCAGTCAGTGGAGCATAGTTTGGTTTTTCACACAGAGCAAAGAGTCCATATGACAGCTTCTGGGAGAACCTACCTTTGGTAGGATATTAATCCTGGTTGAGAAATCCCTTTGCTGAGAAATGGCAGTTACTATAGAGCAGCCTTCCGCAATCTGGCTCCCTCTTGATTTCCCCGTAAGTCCCAACCAGCATGGCCAGTGGTCAGGAGAATTGGGAGCTGCACTTGCAAACATCTGAAGGGCATCTGGTTAGGAGAGGTCATTACTGAGCAACAATAAACCCCCACACCCGTAACTGATGTGTTTTGGCAAATAAATCAATATGGGAGTTTCAGGAGTTCCCTTTCAAAGGATGGTCATAAGCTTGTCTGCTACGGTCAGCAAAATGGTGTTTCATGGATCACTGAAGGCATCATCTTATGCCTGGCAGTGACTCTGAACTGCTGCTTTCTACAGGCACAGAAAAAACTTTTGTTTACATTTAGGACTGCAGCATTTACTCTACAAATCAGTTAGATCAATTGATCAGAAACCTTTTTCCATATTCATTTGGAAATAAGTCCCTCTCAGTTCAATAGGCTTACTCTTTGCAGTTGAAGGCTTGAGTATTATGACACAGAGAAAAAACTTTTCTCCACCCCATGCATAATTTTATATACCTCTATAATGTGCTCCTTCACTTGCTTCACGGCCCCCAACTAACAGGTAGACCAACCATGCTAATTCCCTAAAGGGTGGGTAGGAAAGTGTGTCAATGGAGTGCGACAATACTGAAGTTTCTGCTTGTCCTAAATTCTGCTGATCTCCCACTCCCCCGCCCCTCCCCTCCCCCCTCCCTTTCTTGGTTGCCTCTTCTTTCTCTGTTTGGGTGGCCTCAGGCTGTGTAGCAAAAACCAGATAAAATTCCCATTTTATGCATGTGTAGACATAAAGAAGCTCTAAATGCATAGAACAGTGCCCTATTTTTGGCATTTCTAAGCCCCCATAGTGGTTTGCTACTGAATTTCTTTTAAGCCTCTGTAGCAGTTCTCTACTGAATTTCAGTGGCAAACTGCTAATTTTTCTGCAGGGGTTTTGCCACCACCACTGCTGGACCACTGAATTTTGGTGGCATCATAATGCGGTCCAGTGGAAAAATTGCTGCCCCCCCCCAAAAAAAATTGTCAACTGCTGGTCTACTTAGATTGGCAGTACTTCTTCAAGGCCTGTAGACTTGGTCTTCTCCATCATCTGTTCCTTCCCCTCCTCCACTGCAAATTTACCTTTCCAAAACTGTGTTGCCTTGAAGAAGCACCATTGGTCTTTATATTGTGATAATACTTAATATTTAGTGTAGTTCAGTCTAAGCTGTATGAAATTTCTGTCCATATTGAGGAGAATTGAAGTGCATGTGTAGCCAGAACAGAGTATTGCACAATTATTGAGCCAACAGTCCTTTATGCGTAAATAATAGTTATATACAGATGAATTTTACTCTGTATCAATACGACCTCTTTTGTTTATGGCAAAGCTATTAATGACACAATGACAGATCACACACGGAATGTTTGGCTCTCATTCAGAGATCCTGTTCCAGAATTTGTATCCCAAAATATTCTTTTTTTGTTAATGAGATCTATTTGGTTTTACTGGTGTCTATGAACAAAAGGCTGAATGCATTGTCATTGCTGTAAGTTTGTTAAGGTAATGGTTCAATATAATTTTAAAAACACAATTAAGCGGAAAGTTCTGGAGGTTGCTTCCAGATGGACTATTGGAAGGCTTTATGTAATTTTATCATCTTTACTTCATTAATGGTTTTTCTGTGGCAAGAAAAAAGACAGAAGGAATTGTTGAGAAACATGGTGGGGGGGGGGCAGGGGGTTGTAAATGAAAGATGAGGAAATCCTTACTCTGGGTAAAATGTGGAGAATAAGGCAGGATGATGGCATGATAAAAGCCTCCTCTGGAAGCGCCTTAAAACAAACTAAAACAGTCACATTTGGGTGGTGTCTGCAGCTAGTGTCCCTCTGTTAACAAAAATTATCTGTGAGCAGAACAGTGTCCCTGGCTCTCCAGAGCATGCTTGGGAGACCACACAGAAGGTTACGGGGAGAAAGAGGAGTCAGCAAACAACGACCCTTCCCTGTGCCCCTGGTGGAAGCCCCCTCCGGGCAAAGGAAAGCCAGCTGGATATGCCCCAGCGTGTATCATGGAGCCCAAACATTGCATCGTTCCTGCCTTCAACTAAATTTGCTTTGCAAGATTGATGATGTTGTTCCTAATACTATGGCCAACTTAGCATTAGTTGCAAAACTCACAGAAATTTTGCAATGATGATTTATTTTTAAAGGCAGTGATTTGCCAAAACAAGAGAGACAATACCATCATTTTTCATTCTTTCCTTTCTGTATTTATTTATATGGGGTTGCATCCAGAATTACTCTGGATCTACCATGGTGACTGCACTGGACTACCCCCCCCCCCCCGCCTGCTCCTTCCCATGGCAGCCCCTGCAGCCCTTCCTGACACAGGGAGTTAGGAGACCTGCTGAATGGGATGAGGTTATCACCTGCCCCATAGCTGAAGCTCTCTGGGTGGAGTTGTGTGAAGGATCCCTAACACTGGATAGAAGGCCCTTACATGCACGAAGCCCTTCCTTCTTGAATTCAACCCATGATTATTAATAACATTTGTATGCTGTTTAATATACAATTCTAAGCAATTTATATATCAAAATATTAGAAAATCTTGGGAGGAGCCAAGAGGCAAAATAAGTAGCTGCTACTGTAAAGAGCTCCTCTGGAAAAGTATTCTCCTATCATTGTTATTCAGAAAATCACTATTTCAAGAACACTGTTAATGAGCAGTCAGAGTTACTAAACCAGGATTAGGGTAACCTCCAGTTCAGGAGCCAAAACTGGTCCTCCAGGGTTCTCCAAATGGCAACACCCCCTTCCCTTGGCCTCAGCTCTTTTGGCCCAAATCCTCACTTGTGGTTTCTCAGCTTTCATGGAGATGTTTCCCCTATTCTGAAAGGTCAAAACGCCTCTCCTAAGGCTTACTTCCTAGTAGTAAGAGCTGTAAGCGCCTATACACTGGGAAGGAGATTTGCCTGTGTCTCCCCAAGAGGTTCTCAAAAACTGACTTGGCTCCATAGGCTGATAGAAGTTCCCCATCCACGACCTACATAAATAAAATGGATAATAAATAAATAAGCAAAAAGATGGAATCATGGCCATAAACAAATGCTTAAGGAGACTATATTTTTTTAAAAAAATCTGGA